AATTTTCATCAGCTGAACATGAGCTGAAGTGATGTGTGCAATTTTTACTTCACTGGATTAAAAGAAATTGCTTTCCCTCTGTTCCTCTCCCTTGAACTAGAGCAGAGATTTGCCTAGCACTCCAATTTTAACTCTTCTGAGGAGGACCATGTCCAAGGGCATTGTTTTCGTGTTTAAATGTACTTTAGAATCATTTGAAGGGTTTGGTGGGACTGTTGGGCCCCACTCCTGAGGTTTCTTGCTCAATAAGTCTGGATGGACCCCAAGAACTTCTGTTTCTAACATGTTCGCAGCCAATGTTCATTCTATTGGCCCAGGGACCATGCCCGGAACACTGCCACCCTGGGATGTGGTGGAGTATGGAGGCAGCCAGATCTGGGGCACCTGATTCCTGGATGGAGCAGAGCTGCCCAACAGCAAGGACCTCTTCCTTCTGGACTGCCAGTCAGAGACCATCCAAGTCCTACTTCTGTCAAGTCATCTGAAACAGTTAATTTTACATGTCAATTTGATGGGGGCCAAGGATGCCCAAAGAACTGACACAAGATTCTTTCTAGATGTGTGTGTGTGTGTGTGTGTGTGTGTGTGTGTGTGTGTGTTGGGTGTTCCTGAAGAGAGTATCATTTTAATCCCTCAACTGAATAAAAAGGATCCATTCTCACCAAAGTGGATGTGCAGCATTCCCTTGAGGGCAAGAACTAAATGAAAACATGGAGGAAGGGAGAATTAGCTCTCTGCTCTTCAGCGGGGAAGTCCACGTTCTTCAGCATCAGAACGCTGGGATATCAGAACTCCAGGTTCTTACACCAGTGACCCCCAGTGTCTCTGAGCTTCAGACTGCTGACTTTCCTGGGTTCTCCGGTTCAAAGTGGTACACTGTGGACTTCTCATCACAAAATCGAATGAGCCAACTCCCATAATAAATCTTTGGTAAATCTGTGTATGTCAAACTAGTTCCATTTCTCCAGAGGACCCTAACTACCACACCACTGCACCCATATTTTGGCCCTCTTTGTTAAACTAAATCTCCTTTTCCCATCCACTGACTCGTGTAGGTAGGGAGTGGGGATCCACAGCCAAGACTCAGTCCCTGACTACCTTGAGTTTCATTCAAGTGTCTCTGTGGTTCGGCCCTGAAAGCCCAGATTTTATGAAAGAATTGTTTTGTTTCTGCACCCCTGACATAGCAGGCAAAGACCTCTCCCCGGGGCACAGCCCTCAGGCACAGGTAGAGACCTGGGCCTGGAGTCTGCGCGTGCGGGGTGGGCCACCTTCTCTCTGCCAACGTTCTTGTCTGAAGATTTTTTGTCTTCAATTCCCACACTCTCCCCTAACATCGCTAATCCTGTAGTTTGTAGATCTGAAGGTGGCTACAAAGCACAGCAATTTGACTCTGGGAACCTATGCCACGCTAAAATGTAGGCGTGCTAATTGGCTTCTCATTATCTTTAAAGGAATCGGAGAGTTCTTGCAATGGAGCAGCCCACTCCCTGAACACCTGCCCTCTTTCAAGAGACATAAAAGGGCCAGGGAGGGAGTTTGTTAGTCACGTTCCTGTTCCTGGGGTAAAATACCTGACACTTGGGTGTAAAGCATAGACTTATTTTGGCTCATGTTTCAGAGGGTTCCTTCTCTAGCTGGGTGGATGCAAGGCAGAAATGGCACCGCAGAGGAAAACTGTCCAATCCATGCCAGCCAGAAAGCAGAGAGAAAAGGAAGGAGCAGGGAGGGGAAAAGAGTGAATCCTTCAGGTGGCTCTGCCGGTGACTCACCTCCCACCAGGCCCACTCCTGACAGCACATTCGGTCATCAGATGGATGATGACCAGATTAATCCATCTAGACTATAGCCTCCGCTTGGTCCGATCACCTTCCAAACACTTGAGACTTTTGGGGAAACATTTTAGACCTAAACCATAAGAAAAGGAAAGAGAAGAGGGGAAAGGATACGACAATCATGGGTCTCCAGGGCAGTGGGCAGCAGGAGAGCTCACACCAGTGGGGGCTGCTGCTGAGGGTGGGGAGGCCTGCTGAGGTCCTTCCTGTCTTAGTTTAGTCATGTCACTGTGACAAAATACCACAGACTGGGTAATTTATAAGACAAAAAATTTATTTCTTACAATCCTGGAGGCTGGAAGTCTAAGATCAAGGTGCCAGTAGATTTGGGGTCTAGTGAGGACCTGTTTCTCATGTCGTCTTCTCCTGGCAGCACCCTCACATGGTGGAAGGCTGTTCTCTCCAGAGCCTTTCTAAGGTCACTAACCCCCTGGGTGAGGGCTCCAATGTCATGACTTAACCACCCTTAACAACCCTATCTCTTAATTCTCTCATTTTGGGCCTTAGGTTTCATTGTGTGAATTTTTGGAGAGCATCCACAGAGATTAGGACTCATTTTTGGCTATCAGAGTAATACTACCTGCTTTCTGCGTTATCTGTGCAGAATGTATCTCTCCAGGAGTGACTTTAAGGCATGGTTTTGTTTTACCTGGGTATTGTGATCCTATGTGGTCAGAAAAATGGCCAGTCACTGAGAAGAGGAAAAAGCTGCTATTAGTCCCTCCTAAGGACCTAGAAAGTGTGCCACAGGGAAGACCTGATGCTGCTGATCCACTCTCAGCTGGCCCTTGCCCTGCTTCCCTGACACCTGTGAGCTGATCTCCTTGTTCATCCACCAGGGCAGCCCCAGCTCCACAAATCCCTTTCTTCTGCCTCTAGAGCAGTCTATTCGCAGCTCACTTTGTATTTGCCCCTCTGTGTACCTTGGTGCATGAGCCCCTGTATCTATGTCATCCCTTTCTGTGGGGCAGCGGAGGTCTTTATCACCCTCAAGTCATCTGGTCCTCAGAAGGCCCTGGGGATCTTATGGCCGGCAGACTGACATCCCTCTGCTGCCTCATTAGCAGAGAGTTTAGGCCTCTACCTAATCATCTTCTTTTCTCCTTGGGAATCGGGGCTGGCTGTCCTATGGCACTGTTAGAAAATCCCTCCCTCGCAGATGCAGAGAGACTCAGGCCACACTGGAGGGCTGTGTGGTGGGGAAGGCTGGCTGGCCCTCATGGTCCTGACTTGACCCACAAAAGTCCTGCTTGTTATGGGTTCTCACCCACTCCTACTGCCACATCACAGTGGCTCATGTGTAGTCAGCTGCTCCAGTGCACTTCAGACAAGACTGGCATGGTGGTGTGCACCTGCAATCCTAGCACTCAGGAGGCTGAGGCAGGAAGATCACCACGAGTTTGAGACCAACCTGGGCTACAAAATGAGTTCGAGACCAGCCTGAACTACACAGCAAGACCTTGTCTCAAAAGAGAGGGGAAAAAAGGAAATAAAAAAAAAAAAAACAAAGAAGATTGAAATGGAATAATTTATAAACTGGGTATTATGGTTAGGATCCAGGTCGATCCCCCAATCCCCATGTGTTCAGAGGCAGAGTTTTTGGACTGGACCACAGGGGCACTCTGGCTGAATGGGATGCTAGGGGTAGGCCCTGATCCGAAGGGTGGGTCCCTGGAGGCATGATCAGTGAAGTGTTGTGGCTTCTCACACTGAGCTGAAGACAGTGAGGCCACATGTCTTTGCCGTCTTCCATCCCCAGAGCTCTAGGCTCTGTGGGGCTAGAAGCCCTGGTCCTGAGGCAGACATACCTAAAAACCCAGCAAGGGATCACTAAAACACACCTTACGCCTGCTGCCTGAATATTTTAGGATCTTGGTATCCAGGAGCCAACAAGCAGGAGAGGGAGTGGCATCCTGTCAGGGAAATCAGCCTGATCCACAGCAAAAAGCTGGACTGTTTTCCTGCATCAAGGGACATGGGCAGAACCCAGGAGCCTCACTTGGGTGCCTCACTTGGGTGCCTCACGTGGGTGCCTCTTGGTATTTTTCTCCATTGTGTCTGGGAATGGACACTACCGCCCAGCAGGACATGGGTACTGAGGGCCAGGTGCCCGTAGGAAAGAGTTGGCTTCCATCAGGGAATCCACTGAGACTAGTGGACGAGGAGGCCGAGGGCAAGGGAGGTTGGGAAGGATGGAGAGGGAAGATGACGAGGCCCGGGGGCAGCCCTCAACCCAGCTGCAGCCACAGAGTCTAGCACTGTCCCGCTAACCTCCCCTACCCAAGTTTGCCCTTGGGGACCAGTACGACTTTGGAATGATCTTCCACACTCACTACTCCTGAATGTGTCATTCCTCCAGTGTGCTCCAAATGCCGGGATCATTGCGCCAGCCCAGGCCAACACCGGTGAGGTGTTGAACAAGGGACAGCTGCCTTGTGCCAAGGGCTGTCTGTGCACCATGTCCTTTCCACTTGGGTATTGAGTGTCCCAGTCCTGAAAGTCCATATTGGGAGGAAGAGCCCGTGGTCCCAGTGAGAGCTGACAAAATCCCTGTGTTTTATCCAGCGGGCTGGGGCATCAGGTGCCTGGCCAAACCTGAGGGTCAAGGAAATGTTCTCAGTCCACTGTGAGGCCACCGGGCAGGTGCGGATGCTACAGGGGAGTGAGGAATTGGGGCCAGTAACCAGAACCACACAGGATTAAGGCCGTTGGGAAACTTGGGCTCTGGCTGTCCTGTTATTGTTACTGCTCATCCAGGAGACCAGGTAGGCAAGACCAACTGTAAGAGGGACAACCCCTGGACAAAGAACCAAAAACACGGTTTGGTACCTGGAAACGGAAACAGCAACTTGAGAAAGGGACAGGCCAAACAGCACAAAACAATGCCCACGTCGTCCCCCTGAAGCCCTGTCCTGGCAGCTCTGGGGCTGGCCAGCGGATCAATAGCAATTTGGGGCAATCGCAGGGGCGCCATCGGAGTCATTCTGATGAACTGAACATGATGGGTTCCGGCTGCTTCCCCAGTCCTTGGGGAAGTGAATGTGCATCCACTCAGCGCTGGAGCCCAGCCATCCTGTGGCCACTCCCACCTTCCTACTCCTGCTGGTCCTGGATACTTAGCCTTTTTCCCCAGCTGCTCCTGTCCTGGCCCGCAGGCTCCAGGAGATGGAGGCGGAAGGGCCGCCCCAGGCCGGAGGCTGCTGTCCTGTGGCCCTGGGGAAGCTCCTGCCAGGCCTCTGCTTCCTCAGCTGCCTGGTGACCTACGCGCTGCTGGGTGCTGCGCTCTTCTCCGCAGTTGAGGGCAGCCGGGGGGTCCAGCGGGCAGAAGATAACGCCGAGTTCCAGAGTTTCCTGAATGAGCTGTGCAGAGTCCTGAACTGTACCGAGACAGGTAGGTGTCTCCCCAGGGCAGGGCGAGCCTTTTCCTGGGTGTTTGGGTGTCTGCCAGCATCCTCCCTGCTCCTGGAAGACCTTAGGAAAGTGACTTCTCTCTGAGCCTCAGTTTTTCTCCCCTGGGGCATGGGGAGATTATCAGCCTCTCAAGAGTGCCCTGGGGAACAGGAAGGACACGAATCCTGGGATCCTCAGCTCCCTTTCTGTTGCCTCGGCTCCCAGCCCCACCCACCTTGCAGGCAGGCTCTGGGGAAGGCAGATGGCTGGAGAGTTGGGGGCTGAGCCCAGGGTGGGAGATGTGGCCCTGCAGCTCCCTAGGCTGCTCCTCAGAATGTGGGTGTCTGCCTGACCCCAGATTCAGTGGGCAGGGTAGAATTTAAGGAATTATTCAAACCGGGATTGGGTCCCTAGGATGAGCAGCAGCCTGTCTCCGACTATCCACTCGCCATTTCAAAGACTTGGTCTGCAGTGAGGCAGGGGAAGGGCTGTGAGACTGCTCAGGGGCAGGTCTGTGCTGGCTGCCCTCTCACGTTTGGTTCCTGCCCAGCAGAGAAGGGGACCACACACAGCTCAGGCCTTTGTGGGAAGCAGAGGACATACAGGAGAGAAAGCCTCTGGGAGACAGAAGACACTTTATCGTTGTCCTTATTGCGGTGCATTTGTACTTAGTCACGCGCTTCTACCAAATGAAGTGTGCAAAGATGTATTCAACCGAGCAACAGACATCCAGAGTGTACGTGAATAAAAGATAAAGGACAAACAAGCTGTCCAAGACAGGGCAGGGACAGGTGCTGGAAGCTTGTCCCTCCCTCCCCGATGTGGCCAGGCTCAGCCACCTGCTTGCTATCTTCCCCAGGCTGGGTCTTGTCCCAAGCTGATTCTTTCAGCTGGGGCTGCCTCAGGGTGGCTGCAGGGAGGCTGCGTCTCCCTGGTGGAGGTTGTTCTGCGTCCCCTCGCTGGACAGACACCTGAGAGGTGCCATAACCACTGCTAGGACGCTTGACCTCCAGCAAGTTCAAAGCTCTCCAAACCAGCCCACACTTGGCAATTGTCCAGGGAGTTTGTCTAAAATACACTTCCACCTTCCTGAGAACACTTTATGTTGTGTATAAATTGTCCCCTTTTTCTGATTTGGAAACTGAGGCAGAGGGAGGTTAAGCAACTTGTCGCAATTCACAAACTGGAAAAATAGAGCCCAGGATTCAACCCCAGGCATCTGGACTCCAGAGTCTGAGACTTTTGACTCTTTTTTTTTTTTTTTTTTTTGGTTTTTCTCCGGTACTGGGAACCGAACTCACGACCTTGCGCTTGCCAGGCAGGCGCTTTGCCGCTGAGCTAAATCCCCAGCCCCGACTTTTGACTCTTAGAGAGGGAAACTGAGGTTGGGAGAGCTTCTTGTCCACGGCTCCAGGCACTAGTCAGGGTCAAGGCTGAGCCTAGAGTAGACTCTCAAGCTGGTGCCACTCAAAGGAGTGGTGACTTCCCCTGCTGGCTAGGCAGGGTGCCATCTTTTTCTGACGACACCAGGGCCTAGCAGGTAGCTTCTGGGGTGGCCAAACCTACTGGCTGCCCAGGCCAGCAGAAGCACTTGGGAACTTTTCTGGAAAACCAGGGTTCCCAGCTCTGCTCTCTCAGCCTTGCGTCAATGTTTTTTGGAAGCCAAGACTTCCCAGCCTGGGAACCTGGTATGATCACCACATCCCATAGGTTTAATGCCCTCCAGGAGCCGGCATGATTTGCAGGCATTTTATGGCTTGTATTTCCTAAAAGCCATTTTGCTTTCTATTCCTATGAATCCCATGAGACAGACAGAGAAGTTTTTATTCCCCTCTCAAAGGTGAAAGGAGCAGAAGCTCTCAAAGTGAAGGGAGCCCCCAGAGGCCGTGCAGTAGTTCTGTGGCTGAGCCGGGAGTGCCGGGCTGGGCCGCGTGTTAGGGGCTTTTCTCACGGGGCTACCCAGCCTCCCCATCTGCACAGGGAGCAGGGACAGGACCTGAGCTGCAGAGACGTTTTAGAGCATTGACACTGATGGGATCCCAGGGCGGTGAGCTTCCGGTCCTCGAGAAGACCTCTCCCCTTGGCCTGGGCGGAACTGTGGTGATGGGCAGAGCTTCCGGCTCACCCTGGCCTCTTTCTCCAGCTTCAGAAGAAGAAAAACTGGAAGTGCTGAAACTTCTTCAGAAGGTCAAACCCGAGTGGTGGCCCCAGAAGGCAGAGGACTGGAACTTCATGAGGGCACTGTTTTTCTGCTGCACGGTGTTCAGCACGGTGGGTAAGTGTAAAGTGGGTCACCCCCGTGCCCACCGCCCACAACCTGGGAGACAGAACTGAGCGAAGCGGGGAGTCCCTTGGCATGGTGCTCGGATATTCAACTCACTTAATACGAGAAAGGATTGACCCAACTGCCTACCCTGTGCCAGGCCTCTGGGGCGCGGGCCGGCGCCATCCCCCGCGCAGGAGCACAGCAGTGAGCAGAGCAGGGCTGCTCCAGGCCCAACTGCTCCTTCATGCAAGACTTTTCCTCACGGGCAGAGGCTGCACGACGTAGGTGTGGGCCGGCTGTTGGCTCTTGCGGCCTCCTTTCCTGAGGATTCTTGTACAAAGCACAGGAGACGGGGCAGGTGTGGCCCCAGCCTCACAGAGCCCACAGACTCCTGGGTAAGAGAGAAGTGTTCGCAGGCCGCCAGTGCAGTTTGTGTGTGACAGCGACGTGCTCAGGGGATTGTGTGAGCAGAGTGCGGGTAGCTGTGTGGGAGTGGGGGATTCAGCCGTGAAAACATTTTAAAGACCTTGAGGGTGAGTGACCAGGGAGGGGATGGGGGCCTCAAAGGGTACTCTGGGCCCGTGACAAGACAAGCCCTGTGGCCTCTGCATGACAGGGGTGGCCTGGCATTGTAGGAAGCTGAGCAGCATCTCTGGAGTTCTTCCCCATCTCCTAGCCAATGTGTCACCAAAAACATCTCTCGACACTTCCACATGTGTCCGTCTGAGAGACGCAGATATGCTGAAGTGGCTGTGAGCGTGTGCTTCCCGGTCGGCAGCATCTGTATCTCTGCAGAACTTGCTAGAAATGCAGGTTCTGGGCCCCACTGGAGACCTGTTGAGCTAGAAGCTATACATGAGGGGCACAGCAATCTGTACTTTAGACTCTCCACATGATTTCGATGCGAGCTGACAGCTGATTTTCTAACCCAGTGCCGATTTTCAGCCCAGGCTGCACGTTGGAATCATGTCTACGTCTTTTATGAGTTTCTGTGATTGGATTCTGCCCCGGACCAACCAGGCATCGGCATTTTTCAGAGCCCTGCAGGTAGTTCTGATGGGAGTCCAGGCTCTGAATCAGTAATTTAATGGAACTGCATTACATTGTTTTAAATCTCAAGAAACAAAGCTACTACCCACTGTCCAAGAGAATTACGACATCATACCCCCGCTAATTACCCTAGCAGTGGATGCAGAGCATGTTCCACTTGGTCTCTAATCAATAATGGTGCTTAAAGGGCTCTCTAGTGATGCTGCTTCCTGCCCTGCATCTTGGGGTCACCTGAATACACCTGGCCTCGATGCTAAGAGAGGGATACCTGCCAGGGTCAGGTGGGTGGGGGCCTTGCCATCCCCCACCGAGTCAGCCCCCTTGGAGTGGAACAGAAAATGCTTGAACGTTAAATGGTCCCAGGCTAAGTGCAGCGGGCTGATGATATCAGAGTGTGAATGCATTACGGGGATGCGATTCTGCATTGCGCATTTTGGCCAGTAATTGGGTTAATCCATTCCCTTAATAGGAGCTGTGTGTTCCTGGAGACTCAATTCTCGGGGTACTTTCTGGGGTGCAGCATGTCTTCTGAGTCATAGCACACCTTACTCAAAGGTGGTCATGGGCTCTTGGTTTGAAACTCACTAAATCCATTGTGCCAAGGGATCCTTGGGTTGGGCGTGCCATAAGCAAGGTCTTCAGGAGAGGGTGTACACCCTGCCAGCTGAGGGTTGTGTGACCCCAATAGGTCACCAGATTTCTCTATTCCTATTTTTCTATTACACTGAATGCAGGTAATGTCAGAGATTGCCAACATTAAGAGTTCGGCTGTGCAGGAAGTTTTGACTTTAAAAAGTACATTATAAGTCCTGTCAGAAGTATTAGTGGGGCGCAGTGATGCGTGCTTTTCATCCCAGCTGAGCAGCTGAGGCAGGAGGGTCACAAGTTCAAGAATCACCTGAGAAGCCTGGAAATTTGGTGAGACACTGTCCCAAAATAAAAATTAAAAAGAAAATTAAAAAGGGCTGGGGATGTATAGCTTAGCACAGGCCTTGGGGTCAATTCCAGTAGCACAAAAAAGAAAGAAAGAAAGAAAGAAAGAAAGAAAGAAAGAAAGAAAGAAAGAAAGAAAAAGAAAAAAGAAAAAAGGAAAAAAGGGATTTGCTAAATAAAAGTAAATTTAACCCTGGGCCCCCACCCTGAAGGCTGAGAGGTTACTAGTAACTCCTGGAGACCCTCTTGTGACTTCCCCAGGGGTGCGTGAGAATTGGGGGATGGGCTTACGCACTGCCTGGAAAACAAGGTTCAGGGCTGTTTAGGGCTGCTGCTGACAATCTTCAGGCTGGTGGCGCAGTGACACCCACACCAGGCTTGGCTGCAGTGCTGGCGTCGAGCCCAGACTCCTGGATCCCAGGGCCCAGCTCACTGAACTGCAGGAGAGCCCCAGCCATGCCCCAGAGGGACAGGCGATCTCTGCCTACTCTTTCTTGTGTCCCAACCCCACCCTAAGTACCTGGCATTAATAGGTGCTCAATAAATATGCTCCTTCAACTTTTAGTGATGTGCTGGACACTGTTCTTCCCACAGTGAAGGATGTGCAGGAATAACATAGACAAAACTCTCCAACCAGATGGTGAGATAGACAGCACATGTTCAGAGTCAATTAGGGAGTTATGGATTTTATAGAGAGTAGTAAGGGAATGGGGGTGGAGAGACAGAGGCTCCGATTAAGTGGGGTGGCCAAGGAAGAGGCCCCCTGCAGAGGAGCGAGAGAGCAGGCCTGAGGGAAGCAAGTGGGGGGGGGCACAGGGGCATCCGGAGTAGGACGTTTTAGGCGCAGTGCTCAGTAAGTGATCCTCCCTGGGATTCTCTGAGGGCGAGTAAGCAGGTCAGTGTGGCTGGACTGGAGTGAGCGAGGGGAGGGTGGGAGGTGAAGGTGGGGGCTGCGGGACGCCAAAGGCATTGTGGAGAGTGGCTTTACCCTAAGTGAGGCAGAAGCTGCGGATGGTTGTGATCAGATCCACCTTCCACTTAAAGGGATTGTTCTGTCTGAAAAGAAAGAGAATAAATGAATGAATGAAACAAAGGGGCGCTCCACCGTGGTCCCAACTCACATGGGTATCGAGACATGTCCCTTGAGGGCACGGGCAGTGAATCCCACGTCCTCTTCAGCTGTCCGGAACTGTTGCTTGAGATCGGATGGGTCCGTTCTGTAGTCAGCCACCTCCACCACTGAGACCTCACCTCTCCTGGTTGTGCAGGACAAGGTAGAGGTCAAATATTCTGTCTCACTGCAACTGCAGCTGCAAAGTGACCTCTGCTTCCAGTAGGGGGATCAATGCTTTACCTGACCGCATCTCCTGTTAGTGGCTCAGAAATCACGGTCTCTTGAAAAACAACACAAGGCTGAGCACTTAATATGGGCCAGGCGCAGTTCTAAACCCTTCCCACATAATAATCATTTAAGTCCCCCAATTACCTAGGAACTTGGGGGCTAGCATTCCCTCCTTTCATACCCAAAGACACTGCAGCAGCAAGCAATAAAGCCTGTTGGTCAAGGTCCCAGATCTTGAGAGTCAGAGAGCAAGGTGCCGAGTTCTTTCATGCTTGATTCCAGAATACTATTCTTCCCCCCCTCCCCCGCCGCCCCCCGGTACTAGGGATTGAATTCAGGGTCTTTGCATCAAGCTACCTCCCTACCCTTCTTTATTACCACATTTTAAAATTTTGAGACAGGGTCTTGCTAAGTTCTGAGGCTATGCTTGAACTTGTGATCCTCCTGCCTCAGCCTGCCAGAGCGCTAGGATGACAGACGCGAGCTACCATGCTAGCTTCAGAGTGCTGTGCTGCCTCATGGCTGTGTGTTTCTGGATTCTGTGTGCAGATTCCGAGGAGTGGGGACACATCAATGACTCAGTCTGTTAACCAAGAACTGAGATCTGCCTGCTCAGTGCTTAAATCCCCAGTTCCTTTCTGCCACCCCAAATCCAACCCTGACTTCTACCCTGCCGAGGTGAGAACCCTGCCCAGATTAACGTCTAGCCAGCCCCCACACACTCTGCTTCTCCTGACTCCCACCTCTGCCAAGCACAGCCTCTGCCCTGGCACGGGTATCGCACCTCCCCGCTGGGCTCCCTCTGGCCACAGCTCTCTGCAGTGCAGCCCGGGTGATCTTTTCCAGATACAAATCTGATTGTGTTCGCCTCCTCCAGTGGCTGTAACCAACGAGGCCGTAGAAATTTGTCAAGTTCTGGAGGCCAGAAGTGTTAAATCAATTGCACTGACTTTACAGATCAAGCTGTTGGCAGGGTCGCCATCCCCCAGAGTTTGCAGGGAGGGGTCATCCTGGCCTTGTCTAGCTTGGTGGTTGCCGACACTTTTTCCCCAGTACTGGAAGCTGAACTCAGCAATTGGTGAGCTACATCCCCATCCCTTTTCAAATATTTTATTTTCAAATAGCCTCTCACTAGGTTGCCCACGCTGGCCTTGATCTTTGAATCCTCCTGCCTCAGCCTCCTGAGTAGCTGAGATTACAGGCACGTGCCACCATGCCCACGTGTCAGCACTCTTTGACTTGTAACTGCCTTAATCTGGTCTCTGTCTCTGAGGTCACATTGCCTTCTCCTTTTCTCTGTGCATAAGGTCTCCCTCTGCCTTCCCCTGCTAGGTCACTCGTGGTGGCCTTTAGGGCCCCTGCAGATAGAATCTCCTGCTGTCACACTCCTTAATCACATCTGCAGACTCCCCTTTCCAAATTCCAGATCGTGTGAATTAAGATTGGGGATGCGTTCCCCTGCCTCCACTTCTGTCATGACACCCTGTTGTCCCTGGACCCTGAGTGAGTCCTTGGACTCTGCCCAGCTCCACAGTCTCACTTGTACCCCTCTCCCTGCTTCTGTGTCCACTGCCGCACTGTCCTCTCTGCTCCTCACTCTGGCTAAAGCTTTGGAAAAAATTTAGCCTCATCTCCGCTAGGCAGACATGGCTCTGGGCCCTGAGCCCTGGGCCCATAGCTTGGTGAGTGCACAGCAGGCTGGATTTGAGCTCCTGGTTAGTCCCTTGCCATATGCTCAGTGTACAAACTGCCCACCATATGAAGAACCCTTTTTCAAACCTACCACTGGGCCTTTGCATGTGCTGCTGCTGCTGCTTCGCCTGGCTAATTCTTGGTCCCTCCTCCATTTATGATACAGAGTCATCTTACCAGAATATCTTTCCTGAGCCTAAGTCCAGGGCAGGTGCCCTTCTTCCAACCTGACAGAGCACACTCTGCTGGCTCATCCTCTGTTGCTGATCTCCGCAGTAGCATACTCACAAATGTGGATGCTTCGTTAATGCCTATGCCCCCTTCTAAACCAGAAGCCCAGCAAGACCAACCCCATACTTACTTTCCTTACTACCAGCTCCCCAGTACACGCAGTAAGCACTCTAGACACACTCACTGAATGAATGAATGAACGCACACGTAGAGTTTACCAACCCTGCCACCAAAAGGTGGTGCCCCGTGCAACTTGTGGAGTGCTTTGGGACAGATGCAAACCAATGATACCCTTGCAGGGCCACAGCTCCCTCCCTCACTGGGGACCCTGGTGATGTGGGCATCCCGAGTGCCCCCCTGCTCCCAGGAGGGACACCCTGCGGCTGGAGTTTGCCACAGGGAGCAGCAGTCCTGGATGAGGCTGGCACCTGGCCAGCCTAGGAATTGCCTTCAGGTTAATTTACATAATTGAGCTGCATTTTCTGAATTAATTATCCTTTATGACATCAAAAATTAAACATAGTCATGAAACACAAAAGCTTCTTCCTCTGCTTGTTGAAACCATCGGAGCTTTTCCACCCTGGAGGCTGCAAGCAACTGTAGGGCAGAGTTGCTTTCTCTCTGCTCCCACCCTCAGCTGGCAGAGGTGGGGCACAGGGAGGGCAGAAGGAGCGGGCTCCCGATCAAGCATGGAGGCGCCAGGCCGCCACTTTGCTAGCTCAGCGGGTCTCCCTGGCTGCAGGGCTCGTCCCTGTGAACGCCCCTGAGATTGGTGTGGGCCTGAGCAGCCCTGTGGATCAGACTACTGTTTGTCACATTTACGCTCTTGGCCGTGGCACTTCACTTTGCCATGCCTCAGTTTCCCCACCTGTGAATTGCAACAATGACACCCACCTATCAAGGTTGGTCAGTGTCCTCCCACAGGAAGTGCAGTAAGTACCTATTTACCACATTCAGGCCTTCGCTGTGCGGCGGTTCTCAGCTCTGTGGACTCCGCCCAGCTTGTCACTATATGAATAGGGACTGTCACCTCTTCCTTTATAGATGTGAAACCTGAAAATGTGAGCAGTCAAGTAACAGTGTAGTAAATGGCAGAGCTGGGATCTGAGCCAAGGCTGTCAGCTTCTATATGCAGGAGGCTAAGAGCTTCCCTGTTCTTATGAATATGTCTGTCTCATCTGCTAAATCACAAACAGCTCTGAGGGCAGCAGCTGTCTTCCATCTTTCTCTGGTCCCTAGTAGTACACATACTACTGGCATATAATGGCGCCTACTATATAAAAACAAGGAAAGCAAGAGGTCCAGACATGCCAGGGAAGTCAAAGGTGGCTTCTTAAAAACCAGTCTTTGGAAGATGGTGAAAATGACTGCCTGTCACCTACGTTCTTCCTGTCCTTCCAGGCGAGCTGACCCCATCCTCATGGGGACACTCAGAGACAGCCTCAGCAGGATGAAATCAATCATCTCACCCCCAAACATGTGTTTGTCCCCATCCTGAGTCAAACATCTGGATAGGAGTTGCTGCTTACTCTAAAGAGAAGCTGGTTTCATTCCTATCTGTTCTAGTTACTTTTCTTGTTGTTGAGACAAATTACCCAGCACCCACACGTGAAAGGAAGAAAGGTCCACTTTAGCTCACAGTTTATAGAGGTTTAACCCTTAGTTGGATGACTCCAAAATAGACTAGCACTGCAGAGGGGCATGGAAGAAGAGAAACAGTCCATGGCATGGCAGGCAGCAGTGACTGTCTTCTTTCCCTTTTTATTCCATCCAGGCTACAAGCCCATTGGTTGGTGCCGCCTACACCCAAGGCTGAGTCTCTCCTCTTCAGTAAGTCCACCATCCACACATGCAACTATGCCAAGCCAATCAGTTGGGCATTTCTTATTCAAGTTGACACAATAGTTAACTATCGCATCATCCCTCCACCAAGGCAGACCTAACGCAGTACAAGTGATAAACACTTCAAGATGAGTATTTTATTCTTTATTTATTCATGTTTTGGTGCTAGGGATTGCAGCTGGGGCCTTATGCATGCGAAGCACATGCTTTACCACCAACCCATACTCTAGCCCGAGATGAATATTTTTAAACACATTGTGTGCAGTGTCACGGTAGGAGCAACAGCGGGAAGTGTCTTTAAAATTTTCGAGGGGGTTGGGAAACTGACAACAACTCTAGGTTCTGTCTTCTTTTTCAGGTTATGGCTACATGTTCCCTGTCACCAGACTCGGCAGGTTCCTGTGCATGCTGTACGCCCTCTTTGGCATCCCCCTGATGTTCCTGGTCCTCACAGACATAGGTGACATCCTGGCCACGGTTTTATCCAAGTCTTACAATGGGCTCCGGACGCTCCCCTTCTTCCTCTGGTCTCCCTCCAAGTGGTGCTCCGTGCCGCACTGCAAGAGGAAGGCTGAGTCCAGGCCTGCAGACGAAGCCATCCCTCAGATCGTCTTCGATGACGGAGAGCTGCCCGGCCCTAATTCTGGCAAGTGTCCTTCAGCTCCAGGCTGCAACATAGAGCTGTTTGAGAGATTTGTCACCAGACAGCAAGAGAATTTGCTGCAGCCGCCTCCAAGCACCATGGAAAGGAGCAGCTCGTGTCCCGAGCTGGCGCTGGGAAGACTCTCTTACTCCATCATCAGCAACCTAGATGAAGTGGGACAGGAAGTGGAGAGGCTGGACATCCCCCTCCCTGTCATCGCCCTCGTGATCTTTGCCTATATTTCCTGCGCAGCCGCCATCTTGCCCTGCTGGGAGGAACACATGAACTTCGAGGAGGCCTTCTATTTCTGTTTTGTCACACTGACCACCATTGGATTCGGGGACATTAAGTTAGCTCACCCCAACTTCTTCCTGTTCTTCTCCGTTTATATCATCATCGGCATGGAGATCGTGTTTATTGCTTTCAAGCTGATGCAAAACAGGATCATTGACATCTACAAAAATCTCATGCTATTCTTTGCAAAAGGGAAGCTTTCCACCTTTTTAAAAAGTGAAGGCTCTATATCTCTCAAGTGACAGACAGGCTGAGCCGGTTTTCTCACCTTGTCTTTGGAGTGGTGTGGTTAAAGCCAGTGGCACTGAAGGCTGCTGAGACCATAAGGCTTGAGAAATACCTGTGTGAGTGCTGAGTTCAGTCTTGAGGCCCTGCTGAAATCTGGCCAATACCCTTTGTATCAGCACTTGCAGAAAAAACCATAACCATGATTTAAAATCTAATTAATTTGCCTGCCTGCCTTTTTTTGTATGTAGGTGGTACTGGGAATTTAACCCAGGCAGGGCCTTAACACTGAACTACATCCTTACCCCTTTTTAACTTTATATTTTGAGACAGACTCTTGCTAAATTGTTAAATTGCCCAGGCTGGGCTTGGATTTTAAATCCTTCTGCCTCAGCTTTTGAGTGCTGGGATTACAGGCATGCATCACCATGCCCAGCTTTCTTTTTTTCCACTTTTCAAAATCACTACCTTATGCAGATGAAAAGATCTGATGATGTCTGTGGTTTTTGTGACACAAGGAAAACCTTACCTTTTGTCTTAGTTACGTTTTTCATTGCTAAGACAAAATTCCTGACACTCAAAGTTAGAGGAGGAAAGGTTTATTTTGGCTCACAGTTTGTAGAGGTTTTAAACATAGCTGGCTCTGAGCCAGGGTAGCATGGCAGAGAAGAAACAGTCCATGGCATTACAGGCAGGAGGCAGCAAGCAGCAAGCCTCCCTTTCCCTTTTATCCCACCCAGGATAGAAGACTTAGGCTGGTGATGCCATAGCCAGGACAGGCCTTCCATTAGTCACATCCAGAACTGTGCTAAACCAGTCAGTAGACTAATTTAGTACCACACGCCCTTAATCCCAGTATCACACATTCTAGATCCAGCTGTCTCTGGAAAGCTCCACCTATAAGTGCATGAGGCTTGAGTGGAGGGTATCTAGATACAAGTCATATCACCTGTATTCTTGGAATGTGTACTTTCAGCTAAGTTAAAATCTTCCAAGCTACTCCTTGCTATCCCTGATAGAGCTAACTAATCTAAGCAATCGTTTTCTTGAATGACTCCATGAATGTATGCAAGGCCAGTCCCATCCTGGCCACTGAAGCTATTCAGTAGGATTGTCAAATTTGTTCACAGGGGCCTGGGAGATATTCACAGGGGCCTAGGAGATATCCTGATGGCCAGATGCTGAGTAGACTGCTTTTCTTACTAACTGGTGCATGGATGGTGCTCCTGAGGGGGCCGGCTGGTGAATGGGTGGGTTCCGGAGAGGGCTGGCTCTCACCGTGTGGTACAGTCCTGAGCTGTCCCTCAGTGGATTGGCATGTGAACATCTGCTGTGGGTGGCAGATGCTGTAGGTGTTCCATTCCTTGCCCTGGTGCACCAGTGTCCTTTGAGTGGTCTCCAGCCACTAAAGTGTGGCCATGCCCCAGGCCAGCTAGGAGTGTCCAGAAATTAATGCTTCTGGGAGCTGTCCTGGGTCAGTGGCTAATGGGAACTGGTGGGTATGTGACATCACATTACCTCGCTCCTCCCGGAGAGTGACGCTGGGGCGTGCTATTTACGGGGTCCCCATTCCCCAGTGGCCTTAAGTTTCACCTGCTCATGGGCACACTCTGTACTGGCCTCCTTCATTTCCTGGTCTCGCTTCCTCACTCCTCTACTGGGACTTCCTGAGATCACTGCCCAAACTCACTTGACCTGAAATCTTTGTCTCCGAGTCCTCTCACAGCCCCAGTCTGGAACAGGATGTTACCAGGACAAGGCAGTGTGTGAGCTGCCTGCACGCCTGCCTATGAGTACCAGTTGTTTACTACTTCCCTCATTGGTTATTAGAAGTGTCTTCTGAGTACCTCTTGCAAAAATCAACCTAGGTCTTGTGATCAGCAAAATGAGTCAGTCCCTGGGGAAATGGTGTATGCTGTTCCAGGGGAGAACCCAAGAAAGATGCCTGGAGGTTCTGGTTTGCAAAGGAAGGAAGCACCTGTCTTTGAGAGCTTTGTGGTGCCGTCTTCGGCTCCGGTCAGTGTCAAGGATGAGATCTCAGAGGGGTCTTTGGTGTCTCTGGATCTTTCCCCTCTTTCCCACAGATATTAGATATTCTGTCTCTGCAGCCCTTGGAGACTACCTCAGGCCACAGAACTGACAAGGGGTGACCAAGGACTCTCAAAAAAACACCAGTCATGCAATCCAAGGCAACTGTCCCAGGGGCTTCAGTATTTGTAGATTTTCTTGAAATTCCTCAGCCACATCAGCCCAGCTACCATGTAGCAAAACCCTTGACCCCAAAAGCAGTCAAGACTGGCCACACAAGTGCGAACATGTGATTGGGTTGATGGGCTGTTTGACTGCCAGTGTCGGAGCGCCACATTTCCGCCCTGCTGGGTTACTCTGACCTAAGCAGGTGTGTGCATTCGGCCCTCCAAGCCTTGCGTGGTGGTTCTCAACCCTGCCTGCAGGCTGACACTGGGGAGCTTCAAACACTCCAGTGGCCCCTCTGTCCCTACCGTCTGTCTTCGTTCATGTAGTGATAACAAGTTACCATAGACTGGGTGTCTTAATCATCCTACACTTATTTCCCACGGTTCTGGAGGCTGGAAGTCTGAGACCGGAGAGCCAAGGGGTTCCCAGCGAGAGCCCCTCTTCCTGGTGCCCTATGAGCACACACACACCGACCTCCGGTTTTCTCCTTTTATCAGGGCACTGATCCACGCTTAGGGACCCCCACCTTACCTAAACCTGGTCACCTCCCAAGGTCCCACTTCTATCAGGACTTAGACTAGGGGGACCCCAAGATTCAGAGATTATTGGTCTCGGCTGCTGTCTGCCTGGGCACTGGAGTTTTTTCAAAGCTCCCCAAGATGGTCCCAACGCGTGGCCGGTGCTGAGGACAAGGGCGCCAGCTGCTCTCCTGCGGGAGGCGCCGGTCCAGGTTGAAGATCAGCCTCTGAGCCTCCGCCCACCTGTGGCCCATTCGGGCGATGCTGCCGGCCTCCCGGAAGCGGTCACGGATCCGTCCCTTGCCTCTCCCCAGCCTCCGTTCCAGGACTGTAAGGAGGGTCTCACCTTTGCCTCCTCGCTGAACTCTGGGCTGCCCAAGTAAAACAACTGTATTTTTCACGACGGTCCCCTCCATGCTAACCCTCCCGCCCCCACGCTGCAGCGGTCCCCCATTAGGAATGAATGCGTGCGGGTGGGGGTGCCGGGCGGGGCGGGGCGGTGAAGGAGCAGAGCGCGCTGGCCGCCGGGCCTCCAGGGACGGGAACTGAACCGTCCGGCGACAGCCCTTCCCGGCTTCCTCCAAACCCGGGGTGCCTGAGTGACGGCAGAGTGCAGAGCCAGGGCGGTGGGCTCGCAGGGGTGGAGGGGCTGCTTCCCGCCTGGCAGGGCTTCGCCTGAAGGGTTCCCGTCAGCTTCCCCAGGGGGACCAGCTCCGCGCCCGGGCTGCGTAGCCTCCCGTGGCTAAAGCCCGCCTCCCCGGTCCGGGCCCTGGAGGCGGCCCAGCAGCTCCTGGGCTCCAGGGCAGGGGGCGTCTCGGTGGTCACCGGCTTCGGCTCTGTGCCCCGGCGCAGCGCATCTCCGATCTCCCAGCACCGGACCGAAGCCTGGGGCTGGGGACGCCGCCCAGGGCTGTGAGTCGTCCTGCCCCGTCGACCCCCAGCCTGGCGCGAGGTCTCGTTAGTGTCCCGTTTTTAGCAGGAGAAACGGAAGTTCGGGGAATGAAGCCATGAGTTCAAGATGATACCGGCCCGAGAGAGGGGCCCGGGGGCGAAGGGAGCCGCTCTGAGAAGCCCCACCGGGCTGCGAGAGCCGTGGGGGCAGAGGGCAGAGGCCCAAAGCTGCGCAGCGGGCCCGAGAAGCCTTCGCCAAAGCCGCTCAAGTCTGTCCTCGCTGGGTAGCACGCGGGGTCGCTATTCCCCGAGGAGCCACCAGGTGGCGCCAGCAGACCGCTCGGACGCTGCGCTCCGGCACCAGCAGGTGGCGCCTAGGCCGCTCCCAGCCCGCTGGCTCCGGCCAGCCTGCGCCTTCCGGAAGGGGTCTCCACCGAGGGAAGGTCCTCGCCTGGGTGCTCCGACCCTTACCTTACATCGCAGCTCCTGGGGGAGGTCGCCTCGGACTCTTGTCCTCACCTCCATCCCCGCTGTCCCTGTCCCTCCAACCACAGTCCTGCCCAGCTCAGTCCAGTGCCCGAAACCTTAGCGCCTGAGTCACCACCCCGGGCCCCGGCTCCCCTCCCGCCGGCCCTGTGGGCACCTCGGCGGAGACACCTGGCAGCTTGGAGCACGTCCGGAAGTCCTCGCCCCCTGGTCCAGGGTGGGGACGCTCTGCGGGCGAGGCCCGCGGTGGGTGTTGGGGCTGCAGCTTGGCTGTCTGCGTCTCACACCGCTGGGTGACCCTCATGCTGTGGGCTCGAATCCCGCTGTGTCAGGGGGAGGCCTGGGGACAGACAGGCTGGGAGCAGGAGGTGCCCAGGAGCCGGGAGAATGCTGGTCCTGGCTCTGTCCAGAGGGCCCGGGCTTGGCCTGGACAGTCCTATGGTCTTGCTGACCTCTCAGGAAACTCGTACACAGCAAGCAGCTCACATGTGCCGAGCTCTGTATCCATTTGCACACCCAACCCTCTTGGCCATGTCCCTGCAGCTCACAGTGATACGCCTATGGCCCTGGCATGGCGCTGGCACGTGAAGGGCACTTGGTAAACATCTACTGCTCACTTGAATCCCTGTCTTAGTCTACAGATAAGCCCCGTGTTGGTGCTTGGGTCTGAGCCTTTGCCCCTGAAGGCTGTGCCAGACCCTGGGGGTGGGCCCTGTCCAGAAAGGCTGGAACCTTCCTGACACCACCCCCTCCCCAGTTTGGGTGGCCAGTCCATGCTGCAGAGGCTGTACCCGGGAGGAAGGACCAGACTCCTGACTCAGTAAGTTGCTGTCAAGGCCAGAGCTGGTTTCTGAGAAAGCCAGGGAAGCTTAAACCCAGGGTTCCCGCTCACACGGGCCGTGCGTGACAGGGGCGCCCTGCCAGTG